TTAATTTTATCTTTTTGGCTGATTTTTTCTATAAATAACGTATTAAAACTCCATTTTCAATAACCAGATTTCATCAATTCTTATTTCAATTCACCAACTCTCTTCATTCACAATTCATTCATCTACAATCATTCATCATCTACATCTCTCATTCTCAAGTATTCTTTAGCATGCAATTCTTTCTTGCTTTTTCATGCAAAATTCCGCATTCACAAGATCTAGAAACACCTAGCCATATTCGAAGTTGCCTTCGCCCTAGACATGAAAGGTTTTAATTTCTGAGGGTTTGATCCTAAATCTCTCTTTCAATTATTTAATTTAATTGTTTGATTATTATTTTCCTTGAAGTTACTAACGCGTGTATTTTGTTATTAGAAAGAGGTACGAAGCATCAAAGTAAGTACTTTAATTGATTAATTGATTTAAGATGTAGAAATCATGTTTATATTGTTATTATGATATTCCTAGCATCATGTCTAGGGTATTTTTAATATTAAATATGATTGTTATGATGCTTCCTATGTTCTTCCTAATATTAATTCATGTTAGTATCATGTTAGGGTTAAAGATTTGATTTTTATTGCTTAGTGACATGCTAGGGTTTGTTATTAATCTTGTTAGTGTCATGCCTAGGATCTTGCTTTTAATTATGCTTTAATATTAACATGAACATGATTATGATTATAATTGTTATAATTTATAATTATTTAATTTATGATGATATTATTATTATTATTATTATTATTATTCATGATATTGATTATTTATTGTGTTGCTTGATTATTTTTATTTATTGCTTGACCACCTTTATTGCGTGTTAAAGGGAATTTGTACTTGTAATCATGCTTAATAAGATAATTAATAATCTTGTTAGGTTAACTTTGATTATAATTCAAGTGATCACCAATAATAGTTTATTTGTGCATTATATTCAACCAACATAGATTAAACAGGTTTAGGGTTAATCCTATTGATTGTATGTTAGTCAGAAAGCGCACATGAATACGAGCAGAATAAAGTAGAGGCCTATTATTAGGGCAGGTTCAATCTCGTTTAGGTTGGATTTGTACCATCATCCCCGAACCCTTATTTGGTTCATGACCTTATGGAGTTGACGATCTCTTGGATCGTTAAGGGGTGTAACCTTCACCTCGTGAACGGTTTACAAGTTCCTTAAAAACTTGTTGGCGACTCTTTTGCTCTATCTTCTTCCCTTTTGGACGCCACCGTACTTTAGTGTATGATCACAGTGGGGTTCAAGCTAGTGGGATTTTAAAGGCTTGAAACTATTCCCTACGGTTTTTTGGCGACTCCACTGGGGAGGATTTCTATTTTAATTCCTGAATTTGTTTCGGCAATGATTTAGAATGGGTGGATGAGACTCGAAAAGTTCTAAGTATTTCATGTGTGTAATTTTGATTAACATTATTGTCATATGCATAAAAAGGATCTCATTGGAAAGACCATCCGTAATGAGTCAAAAACATAGGATTTTACACATAGGAAATTTGAGAAATATCTTTCACAACTAGGACTGAAATAACACTACGCCAAACTGGAAGATTTTATCGAGCACAGAAAGCTGCTGAGGCATGTGGGAAGTAGCGTCAGGGGCCAGAGCTTGGCGCCACACTTTAAGCCGTAGCGCCAAACGCTAGTATTGGCGCCAGGTACTACAGTTAAAAGGTGGCGTCAGTCTGTGTTTGCTAGCGCCAATTTCCCCCAATACGGAGCCAGAAATATGCGTTCTAATTTCGACCAGTTTTTCGTATTGTTTGCTCGATCCTACTTCCTGATTGAATTTTTTCTCACTTTTCTGAAACCCATATGTGTTCTACATATGGACATAACCCTCTGGGAATTTATGCTCCATCTACCCGATTGAACACTCCTGGCCACAAAGAGTACATCCGAGATGTTGAATTCACCAAACCATGGAAGTGAGTTTTTTCTAAAACTCGCGGTGTCCCATCCACTCGCGCCAACCCTTCACGGTTAGGCTTCCGCGCGGTGCATCCGGACAATTAACCATGGACCCTCTATTGACTAAACCATATCCCGAACTTTAGAGAACTAGAGTCATGGTTAGGTTGCGAACTCGTTGCATCATATTGTGCCTACTTGACTAATTGTGAATTATTTGTTGTGCATATATATCCTATGTTTCTCTTAACCGTTTGTTGATTTGTGTTGAGACTAAAATTAATGACTTAAAGAACTTTGCCTAATTAATTAATTAATCAATTAATTAATTTGAGTCAATAAATTTTTTTTTTAATCAGAATTGACCTAGTACGACTTTAGGCATACCCCAATTGACTAATAATACCGAAAACAATCCCAGACCGGAGCTCCAATATTGGCGCCAAAGTCTGAGCTGTAGCGCCACACTATGGTGTGTAGCGCTAGACATTTACTAAATTGCCTGGCGCCAATCACCATAATGCGACGCCAGTCCTGTCGCTTGGCCGACAGTTCGGATTATTGGTCGAGTCATCACTTAGGGTCTAATTAATCAGTCTTCTGTTTAATTCGATTAATCTTGCTGTCAATAACACCTTGTCGAGTCATTAATCGAGTCTTGGTCACATAGTCTAGCCACATGGTCATGACACGAGTCTCAACATGTCACCTACACTCACTAGTCTTAGCACACACTTTGAGTATATGTCACCATGACCATGTCTTAGGTTCATGCATGAGTCGGTCTTTTCCGTCATTTGAGTTGGGGGGTACATTCTATTCCTAATTCTTCATATCCCTCCATCTAAATCTTCTTTCACATTCTATTCCAATTTTTCTTCACTTCTTCCATCCATGTGTGTTGAATCGAGTTTGAGTCATATGATTGACAAACAAAAAATGAGGGTGATGATGAAACAACACAAGACAAGAGGCGAGCTTCAACTACAAGATTTCATGGCCTCTTTTTCTATTTCTTTTTCTTTTTTTTTCCTTTCCCCAATAAGTCTAGCATAGGCACCTTTTCTTTTCTTTTAGATTAATTTTATAGATTTTTTCTTTTTTCTTTTTTAATAAAAATGAGCATTTATTTCCTTGCATATGATCATCGCATTGCATTGCACCATTTAAAAATAAAATAAAATTAAAGTAATAGAGAGGTAAGGTGCACTAAGGTTGGAAATTTGCAATTGGTTAGTGAAATAAGAGGAAAAAAATTAAGAAAATTATTATTTCACGTTTTGTATATATGATTTGGGAATAAGATAATTGAAGTAAAATTATAAAAGTAACTCTACTATCTCTCACTTTCCTACTGCATAAATTAAGGGTACATCTATCTTTTCCTCATTTATCCCCTCCTTATACCAACCCTCCCTAAATTTAGAAATGGTGGAATAAGAGGGGGGGGGGGGGGGGGAGTGGATCCCAATCCCTGTCCCCTTAAACAAGCAACATATTTCTATTCATATAGTATAATTTGTATACATTTATTCCTATTTAAAGATGTTTGTGAATCATATCTTACAAATTTCTACACAAATTTGTTGTGTTGTACAAAAAATTCTCTAATTCTATAGTGGTGCTTAAGCAAAATTCCATGAATTTCAATGTGCTTTGTTGTGTTATCTTCTACCTTGTCATGTTTTTTGAGGAAAAAAATAAAAAATAAAAGCGACTTCTAATGTTATATGTTCGTATTATTTACATACAATAGGTATTTCTTTAACAATTCATTAGAAACTAGCAACACTTGCCAGAACTACTAAAAACTTTGAATCTAACAATTGTACTTATATTACAACTCTTCTACTAGTTACTTTTACTACAACTAGTAACAATTAAGACTTGGCAGAGCCTTTATTTATCTTTATTTAGGGTGATGAAATCATAACCCTTTTTATCTCCTTTACCATGCTTCTTTAAATTGCAAGAGAATTAAATGAATGAATCAGTAACTTGATTATATTAGCCAGTTTGCTGAGGCATATAATGGTCATCACTCATCAGTGTGCAAATGTAAGATGATGATGATGAAGAGGTACTCAATTGAGTTGACTCAATCTTAACCCTTTGTACATAACCCATAAACTATATATTATATAATTATTTTATATATAATTTGTATATTATAAAGTTTTGATATTATTGACCATTTGTCTGTAACATTTATGAAAAAGGGTGCAATTTCCCCAACCGTTAAAATTATAATCATGCAAATTCTTACGTAGTCCACATTTTTTATTAATTAGAGGTTCGGTATGTATTAAATTAGGTGCGGCAAAAAGGATAGATATGTATTAAATCTTTGTAAAATTATGAAGTATTTACTTGGTAGAGATGTAATGTTTACTTATTGATTCAATAATATTCATGGCACAATGAAGAATGATTGCTTTTGCAATCTAGTAGGCCGACGACAAGTGGAGGTTATTCTTTGGGCTATTTTCGGTCCGTCTTGTGACTGGGATTGTGGGTCGGATCTTAGAGCTCGGCCCGACACTTTTTAACACTTTTAGGCCCATCTTCTATTTATTTTTGTCAAACAAAATAAATGTTGCATACGAAAAAGTAATTTAAAGAAATTAGATGTATTCGCAATCAATCAAGGTAATTACTCTCCCCTAATCCTAGCTTATCGACTTCTCGCCCTTCTTGGGGTAGTCGTGGTTTACTGGAAGGGAGCTTGGTTTTCTCTAAGGGTATTGCTTGGAAGATTAGGTCTGGGGAGAATATTAGTATTTTGGATGACTGTTGGGTGCCGAATGTTGAGGTTACCTTTAGATCTTCATTCCTGAGGCTGCGAGACCTACCTTTGTTTCAAATTTACTTTTACCGGACTCCCTGATTCAGAGCCTTTTCCCTCATTCTGGGTTTAGAGCGTCCTAAGCAAAAAATTGATGATTTTATTTACTGGAAGCACACTTGTGATGACTCGTTTACCACTAAGTCAACATACTCTTGCCTGATTTCTCAGCACTTGCCTATTCAGGTTAGTCTGTTTCCTAGTAATTGTGGGTTCTTCCAATTCTCCTGAAATGGAAGTTGTTCACCTGGAAGATTCTACACTTCTACATAATAATGCTCTTCCGACTTCTGCTTTACTTAATCTTAAGGGTCTTCCTATTGATCCTTCTTGCATCTTTTGTAATCATGCTTCTGAGTCGATGGGCCATTTATTTCAGCTTTGGTTTGTAGAACTGCTGACTAGGTTTACCGATTCCAAGGATTGGGTTCAGATGGATAGTTTCTTTGGTTTATGTTTGGAAATTTGGTTGACTAGGAATAATGTTAGATTTAGATCAGGGGTTTATTCTCCCCAATCTATTCTTGATTTGGCCTCTAGTTGGAAATCCAGAAGTAGGGAGGCTAGGGAGTTAGATTATGGTATTTTTAGCTTTCCTCCGGGGTTCTCTGCTAGGCCCTCGATCTATTTTCTTTGTAGTTCTATGCAAGAGGATTATGATGTAGTCCTCCTCTTTGATGGTGCTTGGGATCGAGCTGATCTCACTGCTGGAGCAGGATGGTGTTTTCGGGGTCTAACTTCCCCTGGTTATATTGCTGGTGGTGCTAGAGCTTGTACTGCTAGTTCTGCACTACACTTTGAATTACTTGCTTGTCTTTGGGGTCTTCGTCATGCTTCTCAACGGGGTGTTACTCGTCTTTTGCTTCATACAGATTGTCTGGCCATTCCCCGGTTATTATTGGCCCAGAGTCCTTAAGACATTTCAGCGATATGGATCCTTGAGGAAATTCATGAAATTCTCTCCTCCTTTGCTACTTGTCATATAAGCAAGGTTTCAAGGTATTTGGTAGTTGATGCTCACCATTTGGCGGGTGCTGCTCGTCTAGGGAGTTAGTTTCTTTTGTTTTTTGGTTAGTTTGTTGTTCCCTTTGTCAAAAAAAAAAAATCATGGTAATTACAGGTATTCGCAATCATTTAAAATAATTAGATTTGAATGGTTGCCAATGCATCTAATCCTTTGATTGATCTAAATTGATTTTTATGTTCTTTCAAAAAAAAAATGATTTTTATGTATCAAACTATTTTCAGTATGTAAAAATTAATTTAGATCAATCAAAATTAATTATAAATAGTTAACTAAATTTTGATTGGTAAAACTACTATCTTGACTTGTTAATGTTTCATTTGTAGTTTTGACATAAATACTAGTTTGTGACCCGGGCAATGTCCCGAATCATTATATGTATATTGAAATTAAGCTTTTATAGTCAAATTATGTGATGAAATGTATATATAGATTAAATTAGTTACATATACTTCATTACTTACATCTTCAAGTTTATGAATACAATTAACTTTCTTTAACAAAACATTGTACACATAAGGTATATCATTGGAGACTTGGAGTAGTGGCTAAAGTTTAACTATATATAACGAGCATGAGGTCATGATGTTAGTCACTGTGCTCTTAATCTAATTTTAATATTATCCAATAAAAATAATTTAACTTCAGTATAAAGAATTTTAGCCCAATATAAAAATAATTTTGATTTAATACAAATTAGTAACTTTAAAGAGCAAATATAAAAGAGAATTAGTAAATACAACTTTTAATCAGTTAAAAAAAATTAATTTAAGTCTTGCAAAAATAGTTTAAATTAAACAAAAATAATTTCAATACTTTAAAAATAAATTCAATTCAGAAAAAATAATGTGAAACGAACATAGCCTTAGTTAGATGCTTGTATTTTAGGCTTTTGTTTGGTTGATCTTTTTTTTCTTTTCCTTTTTTCCCTGTAATCGTATTATTTGAACTTATTATATTATTGTTTGCACTTTTTTTTTTTTTTAAACTTACCCAAACTTATTTTGTTTGATTTTAGCCCCTGTTTTATTTACCTTAAAATAATCGTTCATTTGTTTTCTTTTAAATGCAACACACCTTTTGACACACCTTTTTTAGGAGTTGATAAGAGTGAGTAAACACACGAATTTATCAAAATAATTTGTATATTGTGATTAAAGAAGGGTTATGTACTACGTGTATATATTATATTGAATAATTTGTCTGTTTACATTGATTAATCCATTCTTTAAAATATGTGATGTGAAGGTGTTGCATTTAAAAGAAATTTGAGGAAGTAATATTGTGTAAAAATAATACATATCGATTTTATAAAACAAGTTATGTTTAGCAAAATAAGGTAATTTAAGTTCCGTAAAAAAAGTTTCAAGAACTAAATCAATATTCTAAGAACAATTACAACATTGACTCAATAAAAATAAGTGTCAATCAATAAAAATAATATAATTTCAGCAAAAATAATTTAAGTTCAGTAAAATTAAGGTAAAAAGAACAGGGCCTGAATTGAAATTGTCTAATACAATCTAATAACTGTGTTCAAAATTTTCCAAAGAATTTATTTTCTTATAAATTTTTCTATGCAAACGAAGTATATATTTTAAATTTATTTTTACTTAACTTCATTCTTCGAAATTTATTTGTTTATGATAAAATAAGATGAAACAAAGAAACCCTTAGAACACTTCAGTTTAGCCATTGCACCGAAAAAGCATGTTTATGTAAAGAAAATGATTTTTTTAAAGCATGGTTTTCGAGGAAGATTACTACATAAGAAAAGTAGCAAAAGAAATTCAAATCCAACCTTAAATCATCTTTAAAATGAATTATTGTTTCATGTTAGTAACCCTATTATATTGATAGAGTAACCCTTAAATAACTATCATTCTTTAATAACAAAGTTATAATACTAAGTAACCCATGTAATCCTAAATAATTAGTAACCCCGTGGTGGTTGGCCACTTGGCCACAAAAGTTAGTGCATACTATTTGTGCAATTTCAAAAAATATATTTATTTACACCAACGTGGACATTTTATATTCATTAACATTGAAAACTAAAAGAGGAAAAAGATAAAGGATAACATAATCTAGATACTTTAATATTTAAACACCATGTAGACACGAGTTAAGTAATTTATTTACTTATATTTCCTAAAACTATCTTTTTGGAAGAAAAGATACACGGTTAATTAATTAGGATTGTGTCGTCCGTCTTATCTCAAAACTCAGACGGTCAGACCTAATTGATACGTACCATATTCCTATTATTTTTAGGTTAATCATTGAGTGTATTGGAGTTGGTTAAATAGCAAGGCCTTAGTTAAGGGAACGAGCCCCATGAGGGGTAACCAAAATAGGGGAGAATATGTGAAATGTAAGGAAAGTTGCATCAATTTAAAGACACAACTGTCAACTATGATGTTCCACGTTAAGGGCACTCATATAACCCATGAAGTTTTCTTTAGCTAACTTTCAAATTTTTAATGATTTCAGTTTGTCCTTAATTATGGCATGAAAATGTTTTTAGTTACTAGACAATTATAATCATTATAACGTTAATAATACACAGAGAAATGGTGAGCATGAAAATGAATAGCTTAATTAGCATAAAAGCATAAAATGCTCTTGATTTTATTGTGTAGCTTAATAACAAGAAAAAAGTTTTGAAAACTTTTGCAATGTAAAATCATTATTTTTGAGGGTATTAACTCGTGCAAGGAAATGTTATAAATGTATAGCCATCATTTACGATAAGATTATGGAATATGTTGTTTGGACACTTTTGATGGAAAATTAATGAGTAGGGAGTTTTCTTCCTTGAAATGCTTATCATTGGCCATCATTCTTCTTCTTTACCGTTTGCCTACATGCCAATGAGTAACCTAATCTCGACATTATAGCATTAGCAACCTCCTTTAAACGTGTTCTTCAAATTATTGAGTTATTGTTATGTTTAGACAAACTATATTTGTGAACGTGACAGACTAATTTTTTATACCTTTAATACCATGTTATAGGATCAATTCAATCAAAAGTTTAAGATATTCATGACTAATAAGGTTTATACTCTACATGTCAATAAATTTCAATTATGATCTTATTAATCAATACGAAACAGCATCTATACAATTATATTGTATCTACATTCATGCCCTGAATTGTTAATTTGTTATAGCTAGATAACAATCCATGTATTAAAAAAATAATATCCATGTAATGAATTTGTTCCAATGAAAAGTTTCAATAATTTATACTCCCTCCGTTTCATAATGTTAGTTGCATATGAAATCAATCACATGAAATAAGAAAAGAAGAATATTAAGAATATAATATTAAAGTACAAAAATTTCATAATTAGTTTACCTTATTTAAGAAGAATATTAAGAATCTAATATTAAAGTACAAAAAGCACAAGTCATAAATCATAATGCATAATTCAAGATAGAGATTTTCTTATTTAGGTTCCTTCTAGGGTTTCTCCCTTGGGAAGGTTTTTTTAGCCTCTATTGTTAGATTTTCTCTACTTTTTTTTCAAAGGTTTTCCTTTAATCTTCTCCTTCTCTCTCTTTCTCTTCCATCTCTTTTCTTCTGGTCTCAATTGTAAATTTTTTTAGGGGCTTCTACGTACCGATGTTTTTACCGGTGGTAAGCCCCAAAAAACTTTTTAATTGCTTTCAATAAAGGATCACATCTTATGGTGGTGTTTATTCTATTAGGTTTAATTTATTTGTTTGTTCGTCTAATAAAGATTGAAGATTTAGGGTTTCACAATCTCGAAAAGTATCTAGAAGGTCATAAGAGTTTTTTCACCTAAACAACTATTCATCTGTGAATCTCAGGCCAAATTAGTGCTAACTCATAGAATGTATTGTTTCAGATGAAGATTTTTATAAAGGCGGTCTTTAATCGAATCTGCGATGTAACTAGTTTTAAGATGAATTGTATTTGTATTGGAATTTTAGATTTCCTTGGAATTGTTTGTAAGTGTCGTTTGACTATATTTCATTAATGAAATCCTTTTCTTCTTGTCAGAAAAGATTTCCTTATTTAGAGGTATGTCATCAATCTACAACCAATTAATTCCAAAACAATTAAGTTAAAAGTGGAATATATTCGATATGGGTAGAAATTTTAAAACACCCAAAATAGTATATGGGACTACATAATGAAACGGAGGGAGTATTAAGGGCCTGTTCACATTTACTTAATTTCAGTTCATTTCAGCTCCAATCAGTTCAGTTCAGTTCAGTTCAGCTTCAATCAGTTCAGATTCAGTTCAATTCAGTTCAGTTCAGCAACTAATTTCCCTCTCTCATAATATATTCATTTCAACTTAGTTCAATTTAGTTGAGTTCAGCTGCAATAAGTTCAGTTCAGTAAATGTGAATAGGCTCTAAGAGTTATAAATGAATTATTTTAATTTTAGGAAATGACTTGCTATTTTCTTGAAAATATATAATCCAATGTACATAGCAATGTAAGGGCTTATTTAGTTCACCTTATTTTTGCTTATCTGTTCAGATCTAGTCTGATTTGATTTGATTATCTAATTTGATCAGACCTTATGTGTACGATAATATATAAGGAAAAAATTTACAAGTAGGGTTTTGTACTTTTGTTAGATTCATAATAATGTGTACTTTCTTAATATGTATTTTCATAAATTTTTTTCTTTGCGAAATTAAAGATTTGTAGCATGAAAAACCGCACAAAAAACAATGATATGATATGAACTTATTTTTTCTGATTTAATTATAACTTATTTTCTCTAAAATAAGTAAAAATAACTTCGTTGAACTAAACAAGGCCTTAATATACTTTAAGCAAACATAGAAGCTCGCTCCAATCACTATAATTAACCTTTGTACCATTATTAATTTTATATATTTGTTACATGCCATGTGCCTAATAAGCTGCCCCCATACTATTCATTCAAGTAATTGGAAGTAATCTAGTTAACATTTGCCAACTTATGTTACTCCATCTATCTATATGACTCAACTAAATGATAGTAACTCGAAAACTCTCTTTAGTCTTAAATCATTTTCATCTAACTCACACACATAATAATCATTATGGAAGAACTTTATTTTGGTACATTGTTATCAATTACAAACAATCTATTCAAGAAATCTATCAATCAAGCCATTCCCAAGTAGCTAGATCTCTTAATTCAATAGCTATCCAATAAAGTAGTAGTCCATCAATCCTCCTTTATACATTTAAAACGTACCCTCTAATATAATAACATGAAGAATATAAAAATAGATTCTCACGGTTTTATAATACTCTCTTTATTCTAATTTGATTTTAAATACTTAAAATTTTCTTGTCTCATAAAAGAAACTACAAAATACTTCCGACATTAGATTATTTGTATACTAACATCATAACATGTTACTAACTACTACTCGTAGTATAATTTGTACAATTAAATTAACACCTTGTAGAGCACACTCAAAAGATTTGAGTCATGTGACCAATAATAATTATAAGAGGGCAAAAAAAAAAAAAAAAAAAAAAAAAAAAAAAAAAAAAAAAGAGATCTTATCTTGAAGCATTCCTCATTTGTGGCAAAAAAATTTAAAATTATTTTTGAAAAGGAAACCATCATTAAGTGTACAAGGCAATTAGATTTTGGTTTCTTTTAGTGGCTAAGATTATGTGTATAGAAAAATACATAAAATAAAAAACAAGAATTAAAAAAAAATTAATAAGTAAAATTATACTAGATGTTGATGATGATGGTAGTGATGATGATAATGTAGGATGTGGAGATCATGATGATAGATGAAAATGAAGGGGAAGAGGTAAGGTATGGTTAAGGTAAGGTTTTAGAGAGAGAAAGAAGTTGGTTAGAGAGAGAAAGAGTTGTTTTGTTGGGTTATTAATTCAAAAACAATCCAAACCATCATTGCGAATCTTGGGACGGCTTAGCTCCTTCATCATTTGGGACCCCCTATACTCAAACAACAAAGAAAGCCCTCCAAAATCCAAATACATTTTACCTTACCAAACTGCCCTCTTCTTGTAAGTTGTAAACTAAATCCATCATCATTCACATGACGTTATCTCTTCTTTTTTTTTTTGGGTGATAATTATAATACCTTACGAATACAAATTTTGTAATTACATATACTAGAACAAGATCTTCTCATTAAAAAATTGTTGTAGATTTCTTTTCTTTGAAGGACTATGTAATAAACAATCTATATATATATATATATCTAATTGTATAAATAATGTATGTAGTAAAGGACTAAGGGTTTGTTGTATTCAACTTATTTTCAGTTCAGTTCAATTCAGCTTCAATCAGTTCAGTTCAATTTCTAATTTCCTTCTCTCATAAAATATTCAGTTCAGTCCAGCTTCAATCAGTTCAGTTCAGCTCAGTAAATCAAAACAGGCCCTAAGACATGTAGAGGTAATTATGATCCAACTTTGATTAAGGTTAAATTGACTTGACTAATAGCTTAACTCAAATAGTTCAAGCATAACAATTCAAAATGATAAAATATTCATTTATGTGATTATCATTAATATAACTTCTGCTAATTTAAGGGGTGACATTTATTACTGAGTCATACACTTAATACACTTGAGCTTGGTCATGATTTTTATTCTCCAACTCTACTTGGCTCGATTTTATTCATTTGAAGGTCCCGAATTGAATTTATTGAATTGAACTTTGATCTTTTTTTTTTTTTTTGTCATATTGAGATCACGTAGTTTGTGAATAGGCTATCATAGTCATTAATTTTTCACCTCTATGACTTGCACATACATTACGGAGTGCATCTTGAGGAAGTATTATCTATAATATAGATAGGGTGTGTCTATTCACTTAAATACCACTTATTTTAACTTCTTTTTCCCTTTTCAAATTTGGTTCATCATCTAAGCTTATTAGCCACGATCTTAATATACTTGAATAAGATGGGCAAGTCTCTAATCCTATTTAGCATTATGGTTATGGAGTAGAAAAATGAGAATACTTATATCCAAGATTATTCAAATAAAAGAAAATCTTACCAACAAATTAGTTGGCAAATCCAAATAAATAAAATAGCATAATGGTTATGGAGTAGCAATTAGTAGCACTAGTATTTTAATTTATTACTCTAGTCTTCTAGGTACAAGATGAATTTTTTGTACTCTCCTAGAAATTTAAATAATTTTATAAAAATACATAAAATGAAAAAAAAGGAGGAAAATCTAATTAGGAAAAAAAATGATTTGAGATCATAAATCCTGAGCCCTAAACCGGCCGCCTTCCATGCTTACACATGCATGATTGTTGTGGCAGAGAAGAGAGATGGCATGTCCCCCTTTTTTTTCATTTCTTTCTTTCTTTCTTTTCTTTTTTTTTTTACCTCTTTCTCTTCCAAGATTTTTCTCTCTCTTCATCTTCCTTTTTAATTTCCCTTTTTCTTTTTATAAAATTTATTTATTTATTTATTGTTAAATATTTGTCTATATAAATAAACACCTCTTGTATGCAATTTTGCCCACCACTTTCACTTTGTTTTCTTACAAAATCAGAGTTGTTAAACTCATCCTCGGCCAGAGCTCCTCTGTTTTCTCCATTCTTCTTCTTCAACTTCCTTCTCTTAAAAAGGTGATCTTTTTTGAAAACATAAAGATAGGCCCACTTCTCTCTTATTTTTTTTAGATTTTCTACGTAAATAATAATAAAAATGCCCTTATTTTGTAGGACACCAATCTATAATACAGTACTTTTTATGTAGTTCCTCTGTTTTGAATAAATTTGCCCTTATTTTGTAGGATACCCTATCCCATCTTCTTCCAATTTCTCTGTTTTATTCAGTATTTCTCTACAAATTTGAGATTAAAAACATAAATATTAGTAATTACTATCAATGTTGTTGCTCTGTTTGTAATTTGCTCTGTTTTTGAAGATCAATGAATGAATTTTCTTTTAAAAAAATTGGCCTTTGTTTTTAAGGGTATATACCTTGGCTTGTAAAGGAGGGAAATGTTTTTATGTGTTGCATTGCATGCCAACTTTCTTCAACTGTTTACACTTTTCTCTTTTTTAATTTTTCTCAATCTAAATAAAATATTTTTCTTTTAAAAAATATACAATTTTTTTATTGGTTACTAAGAAAAAGTTTTAATTTTTATAATATTATATATCATTACTTAAGATTTTAGTTGAGATGCATGGGTGTATTGTAGTTTACTAGATTAAAGTTTTGTCTTGTCTTGCTAAAAACTTATTCTTTTCTTGCCAATTAGGATTTCATAAAAAAAAATGGTAAAAAAAATAACTTGCTTCATACATGAGTTTGTGTAATCTTTCATATATATATATATATATATATATATATATATATATATATATACACATTCATGATTAATGCATGCTTTTATGCATATAATTAAATAGCAAGAAAACTCTTGCATTATAATGAGTGCAAGTTTTATGTATCACATTAATCTCACTTTTTCAAATTATGTAAATTTCTCTATTATATCATGATGTCTCTTATCTCTTAAAATTCTCAGCTTGTTCAAGTTTTTATTTAAATTTGACAAAAATGTAGTTAGAAGACTTAGATATTTGTTTCATTTATTAATTGAATTTTACTAAATTAATATTTGATTCATTGTTTGCAGGTAAAAAGACAAAATGGAGAGATTGAACTCAGAATTGTATTTGCAAAACTGTTACATAATGAAAGAGAATGAGAGGCTAAGGAAGAAAGCACAGAAACTGAATCAAGAAAACCAGCAACTTCTCTCAGAAATAAAACAGAGAATTACAAACAAAGGAGGAAAACAGAGCAACACCAACAACAACAATAACTCTGTTTCTGATCAATTCACTCTCTGTTGCTCAACTTCTTCCCCAAATCATCATCAGTCAAGCAATTAGCATTTTCTATAAATGGAAGCATCCTTTTGGGCCCCACACCACCTCAACTCACTTCTTTTTTCTTTTTTTTTTTTCCTTTTTTTTTTTGTGAAAATTCCTAAAATACTAGTAGTAGTTGTAGTGGAGGTAGCTGTTTTATCAGTTGTAGTTTTTTTTTTTTTTTTCATAGGGTAAAAAAAAGAAAAAAAAAAAAGGTGGAAGCATAAATTATATTTTTGCGGAAGGGCAGTTTGTTGTAGGAATATATTCTATCTCAATCTGTTTTGTTGGTGGGTGATGGACTGATGGTGTATTAACTTTGGCTAATATTGGAATATAATTACTCTTATTTACTACTCTACTATTTTTTCATTGTATTAACATATGAAATCACTTTATTTATTTGTGAAAGTCAAAAAATGAAACGGTATATTGGTTCACGTTAATGCACTCTACGCATTCAACATTATTACTCTGTGTTAATGCACTTCTTATTATTGTATGCAACGTTAATACTCGTGTCATTGCTCCTTTCATTTGACTATATTTCTCTTTTTATAGTACTACTAACGTTAAAGTAGAGAGAAAAAATGTTTAATCGTTGCAAATAATATAAAACGAAGGTAGTAATATCAATCAATATTCAATACTAACAGTGAATTCGGATGGAGGGAGGTTTTTCATTGAGCTTCACTAAATTTGATTTGATATTAATACTTATGATAACACACCCATTTTAACTCTAAATTGGGATGGAGGGAGGTTTTTCATAGAGCTACACCAAACTTGATCATTTTCGTATGAGTAAAAATTTTAGAGGAAAACAAAATTCTTAATCATTTTAAAATTTCCAGCTATAAAAAGAAAATATTAGCTTTAAAAGATTTAATTTGTTCATGAATAATTTCATTTCCAACTGTAAACAATTTCAGAAAAATGGACCCAAATGAACATAAAATAGAATCTTTGGTAGTTCCAATCAATGATTATTTTTACTTGCCAATTATCATTGAGAAAAATCTATTGGAGATTTCACTTTAGGCATTTTAGGAATTATTTAATTTTCAGAAAATGATAAAAGAAAAAAATATGATTAATTTTCTAATATTTACATTCTTTTAAGTTTTAAGGAGTAAAAAGATTAGAGAAATTTAAGATCATACTTGTATATGTTTGTTAGAATTTTCTAAGTGGGAGTTGTGCAAAATGATGAATCAAAAAGGAGAAAAAATTCATTAATCTCTGTTGTTTAAAAGAGACAATTCAGCTTTATTACTTTTAAATCCATGAATATGTCTGCTAATGTTTGATTATGCCTCCAACTATTATAAAGGTATGTAATGTTAAAGGGTGGTAATTGGAATTTTAATAATAACACCACCTAAATAATTGATTACATTTATCCATAAAAACCCATTTCACCTTCATTTATTCTACATTGGATTTGGGGTTAATCATTGAACAAAACTTTATTTTAAGGACCACTGCCACTAAAGCTTCCCTATTTTAATTCTTCTTGTTTCTTAGTTTTTGGACTAGTTGTGTAGGGGAATTAGAGTGGATGTTATATTTATGTTATACTCATATTTTATATTATTAAATTATTAATATATTTTTCTCACTTATTGTAAATTCATATCTTAAATTAAGGAAATGAGAAAATAAAGTGGACGTAACTCACGTGAGTTCATCATATATTTAAATTGAGTAGAACACATTTTTTTAACAAAAAAAAAAAAAAAAAAAAAAAAAAAAAAAAAAAAAAAAAATTGCTTATAAAACATTCCATCCTTTTGTTAAAGATGATTTTAGGCCGTGTTCTTATTGTATGTGCCTTGACATTGAGTAGGCTCAGCTCTTATCCTAGCCCCTTAAAAATAAACGTAGTACTTTCCATGCCAAACTATTTGAAATGGAGGCATAAATTCCACTAATCCCATGTGTCGATCATGTTGTGTTTAGCCTAAGCTTTATTTCATTTTTTTTTTCTTGTTATATCATATTATCAATTCAGTGTGTGCACTTATGTCGTATTAAATCGTGCTTTTCTAAAGAAAAAAAATATACACAAACACATCATAAGACACATGAAATTAGTTACTACATCAAACCTTTTGTGCCTCGGCCCGACCCAACTAATGCTATCATCCTCACCTAAATGTGTCTCCCCCGAACAATAAATGTTTATTATGTTTAAACATTCAAAGAACAGTTTCCTACGTTGATGGTACCCTCCTCCCCTCTCCAAAATTTTTTTCCCTCTCAAACTCTTATCATCTTATGTTATTGCACACCAAAGCAACAAGTTAATTGAGCTACCTAAGGCATGTACGGCCATATAGGAAATTTCCATAAGGTGCATATGATGAAAATGTATGTGAATCATTTTCATGATGCATGCATATGGTGCTTCCGTGCATGGTGCATTGTACAATAATTGGTGTGTTTGGTTCAGGATTTGGAAGGGGTTTTAGGATACATCATTAAATTTTAGTAAGATTAAAAAAACACATTAAGGGCCTGTTTCCATATGTTTATTTTCACTTCAGTTCAGTTCAGCTCATAATTTCCTTCTCTTATAAAATATTTATTTCATTTCAGTTCGGTTCAATTCATTTCAGTTTAGCTCAGCTCAGTTCAGTTCAGTTTAGTTCAGCTCAGTTCAGTTCAGTTCAGCTCATCTCCTAATTTCCTTCTCTTATAAAATATTTATTTCAATACAGTTCAGTTCAGCTCAACTCAGCTGATTTCAGTATATTAGAACAGGCCCTAAAAGGCCACACTAGAGATTCCTGGTCTGAGATTTCAATATTTCATCACCAATTTTGGTCTAGATACTTTTTGGTAACATACCTCTTTTTTTTTTTCTTTTTTTTTTTGGGGGGGGGGGTATTGTTTTTCTTGTAAGACCTATGTTAGTAACTCCGAAATCCAAATAACTACTCCAAGAGGAAGGGAAATTCTTGTTTTACTCTATAGCAAAAATTCCGCAAAATTTAAAACAAAAGGCTAAAAGAAACTTAAAGAGCACGAAAATCCCTTACAAGGAAACTTTTCAAGGTCTAACAAGAAATAAGACTTTGACCTATTAGAGTTCATCAAATTTAAGGACTTGTTCTGATTTATTGAATTGAGGTGAATTGAACTAAACTGAAGATTTTATGAGAGAAAAAAATTAAGAAATGAACTGAACTGTACTGATTGGAGCTGAACTGAACTGAAAATAAGCTGAAAAGAACAAGCCCTAAATGAATCAGTATGGAATTTCATAATAGGAAAGTATAGATTCAAAATACTATACTAATCTAATGTTGTTTGAATTATTATTGTTGGAATGATTTCTACATCTCATAATCTCATTAATAGAATGAATTGTGAAATTTTGGGAGTGAGGTGGATATGGGATTTTAGGAGGATGGGCATAATTAGAAACCCATTGATATGAGATTTTAGACTTAAAAATCTTAAGCAAATACTTTCTTTATTCCACAAATGTTACAACAAGGATGAACTTACTATACGCATTTCAAAGCACATTTTATATGTTAAATATCTATAATTATATAAGAGTAAAAATTATTTAAACTTAATTTTGTGAAAGTATTTTAAGAGACAAATTAAACAAGACCCGACATGAGTATATTTTATTTTACGTATAAATCATAATATGTGGTCAAATAAGCGTAATGAATAGTGTAAAAAGTTTGCAATATTACTAGAACGGAGGAAGGAATAAAATGGATGGAATGAACTCTAAGGCCCTGTTTGATTCACCTTAATTTTGCTGAACTGAATTTATTTTTACTGAACTGAACTAATTTTTACTGAACTGAACTTAATTTTACTGAACTGAAATTATTTTTACTGAACTTAAATTAATTTTACTGAACTGAAATTATTTTTACTGATTTTCTATTATAATTCTTCTTTAAGAAAACTGAAGTATACTGAACTGAACTTATTTTTACTGAACTGAAATTATTTTTACTGAACTTAAATTAATTTTACTGAACTGGACTTATTTTTACTGAACTGAAATTATTTATACTTAATATTATTATTTTTTTAAGGTGAATCAAACAGGGCCTAACTCCATTCCAACCAATTCAATCAAATCCTTTTCATTATACAACCTTACAACCTAGTAAAATCTTTCTTGAGTTTCTTTAAATATTCAAGTTTCCGGTAGTGATGTTCTTAAACCACCATGCTCACTATTTCAAGTATATACCTTATACTTCACTCAAAGTCTAATTACAATGAGAGTTCATTCAAACTATTTCCTCAAAGCAAAAAACTATAGACTCAATTTTATGTACTCCCCCTGTGTTTAAATAAATAAAACGTTTTTCTTCTGCACATATATCAATATAAACTATTGACTTAAGGTCTACTCTCTTTAACTTAATTTTAGCTTAGTTCAGCTCCTAATTTTCTTCTCTCATAAAATATTCAGTTCAGTTTAGCTCCAATCAGTTTTGTTCAGTTCAACTCCAATCAGTTCAGTTCAGCTCTATAAATGTGAACAAACCCTTAAAATATCTTTAATTATTAATAAGTAAAAATTCTAACAATTGAATATTGATAAATTATTTATTGAAACGATTCCAACAAGTACCCACATGACTATACTTATTATTATCAATAAATCACAAACGTTAGTCAAAGTGAATTAGATAAATAGTGTAAAAAGTCAAAACGTTTCATTTATCTAAACATAAATAGTATATAATCTAGTATGTGGAAAAATCAAGAACATAAGGAACTTAAAAATGAGTTAATAAATAGTAATGATTTAATTCTTCTCAAAATAGTTTTCTTATTAGGTAAGTTTGGTATACTAAAAAGCCATACTCCCTCTGTTTTTAAATACTTGCTCTATATCTATTTTTTGCACTATTCATTTGTCCAACTTTGACTAATGTTTGTGATTTATACATAAGAAAAAATATAATTTTGTGGGTAGTTGTTGGAATCATCTCAATGAATAGATTATTAATTTTCAATTGTTAGAATTTATGTTTATTGATAATTAAAGATATTAGTGATAAAATATTAGCATGGACATACGTGTCCAAGAGAAATGGAGCAAGTATTTAAAAACGGAGGGAGTACTTCGTATTATTTTTTCTTTTACAGCTTTAAAGAGAAAATAAAAGTTTATCTTGGTGATAAACAAAAGTTGTTTATCTAATGGCATTTTCGTAAATAAATCAACAAAAAATCCCAGCCAGTATGACATTTTCGTAAATAAGTCAATATTTATGGGACCCGCATATTAATAAAAGGTGTTTACTTATTTACAAATATGGCATGCTGACTAGGATGATTTGTTGATATATTTACGAAAAAACCATTAGATAAACAAAATTTGTTTATCATCAAGATGAATGGCCTGGGGCTCCCTCAGCTTTAAATGGTGATTACTTTACCTAAGTAATTGACTATGTTAATCTCTTAGAGTCTAGAAATTATTTCAAATTAGCTAGGAAATAGGTCAAAAATAGAATTATCTAAAATCGAGTTTAGCTTGAAATCCCTTTAAGTAAAGAAACCAAATAAATAATGTGAAAATTATATATATTTGGACGTGATGGTTTCATGAAAAAAGATTAATTTCAATTATACTATCTATGCCCTTCTCGTTATAATAAATCATACAAGTATACAACAATTCAAGAATAAGGGCATGTTCTCTTTATCTTAATTTCACTCCAATTCAGTCTCTAATTTCCTTTCTCTCATAAAAAATTCATTTCAACTCAGTTTAGTTCAGTAGATTAGAACAGGCTCTAAATATTATTCCATCCGTCCCCGAAATTTCGACCCTTACGTCCAAAACCCAAAACGATTATCTCATTTGCATTGAAATATCCTCCATTTTGCAACAATAGTTATGTAAAATTAGTTTTTCCGTGTATATTTTGCTTTTTCCATATACTTTTATTACACAATCTCTTTACTATGTAAATTTAGCTTTTTAATGTATTTTTTCTATTTTATTTAAGTTTCTTAATACCCGTGAAGAATGCTCAGAAAGATCGAAGTTTCGTAGATGAGGGAGTACCTATTAAAGGTAAGACCCTTCCAAATTATACTCATTACAATAGCTGTTAATCTAGCTTTTGAATCAAATTAATTAGTGCAAGAAAATTTCAAACCTTGCTTTTAGTGTAGGACATTTGTAATTTGACATGCATTAAATCAATAAATCATCACTCTTTCTAGCTGAATTCCGATGATTGATATACTGAATGATTAAATTTTGACACAAAATTTTTATAAATATGTTTTTTTTTTGGATAAAAAAATAAAAATAAAAGAGTTGAAGAAGTGGAAAAGGGAGGCTTTTCATTCATTTAGATCCTGTCCGACTAGAGAGTGATGTGAAAATCTAATCAGAGGTAACGTCAGAAGTTGCAATTGCAAACTGCAAAGAGTGAATGAAGTCAATAAAGTTTAATTAACTTTGATTTTTGTTGTGGGTCCACAAAATCAAACTTAAAAAATAAAACCATGACATAGGCCTCATGTCAATATGCAATTGCCAGGTTGACTAAATCATTAAAAAAAAATTAAAAAAAAATCCAAAAATTAATAAATTAATAAATAAAATAAATAAGTAATACAATTATGTCATTTCAGCTTTATATTTAATAGGTTAAAATAAATTAAAGGAAATCTGAAACTACTGTTTGTCCTCATAGGATTTTCAGAGGGACTAATAATGAGAAATTCTGAAACCCAAAGAAAACGAAATACTTCCTTTCCTTACCTTACCTCTTACCTGGGTCAACAAATCCATCTTATATCTGCCAGCTACAAGTAAGGGGATAGCCATTATAATTTTAGGCTTAGCTACCTATTATAATCATTTGCATGTCCTTCTACAATCTACTACCCACACTTATGCTTATGTGTGCTTGCCTTGCCTTCTTTTGTCCACAACCAAACTCTGAAACTCCTCATATGGTTTACCAAATGTGAAAAAGTGTAGACAATATTCGATATTACATGTGTACGGAGTTTCAAAACAATTTTAAGTTAGCAATATCATTGTTTAAGTGTGTAGGGTTAATTGTTCTCGGATATTTACTTATAAACACTAGTGAGATAAGTTACTTTGTAAGTATTATAACTGTGCAAGTGTTGTAACTGTGTAATGTAGGTGATTTTAACTAAAGATGTCAATTCGGGTATCTAGGCCGGGTTTAGTGAGGTTGTATTGGGTCTGTTTCACATTTGAGTCATGCTAAATTATTGTGTCTATATAAATTGAAATATCAATTGAGTTTTGTTCCAGTCGGTTTTGGGTCAGTTGACTTGGTTTTTGACACCTTTGATTTTAACACACTAGAATCAAACAATGATGAGAATGTCTTGAGAGGACAAGGGAAAAGATCAACATATAAGGTCATGTTCACTTCACTTTAATAAAGTAATACTTTCCCTATTTTAAAATACTTTCTCTATTTCTACTTTTTGCACTATTCATCTCTCCTGACTAATGTTTGTGATTTATACATAAGAAAAATATATTCTTGTGAGTACTTGTTGGAATCGTCTTAATGGATAGATTATTAATTTTCAATTGTTACAATGTATACATATTGATAATTAAAGATGCTATGGAGTAAGTAGTTAAATATGAAGGGAGTATTCTGTAAATAATAATTTCAGTTCAGTAATATTAATTTTAGTTAAGTATAAATAATTTTAGTTCAACAAAAATAATTTCAGTTCAGTAAAAAATCAGTAAACTTAGGCCCTGTTTGATTCACCTTAATTTTACTGAACTGAACTTATTTTTACTGAACTGAACTTAATTTTACTGAACTAAAATTATTTTTACTGATTTTCTATTATAATTCTTCTTTAAGAAAACTGAATTTTACTGAACTGAACTTATTTTTACTGAACTGAAATTATTTTTACTGAATTGAAATTAATTTTACTGAACTGAACTTATTTTTACTGAAGTGAAATTATTTTTACTTAATATTATTTTTTAAGGTGAAGAGAACAGGGCCTTACAGAAGAAATATCATAAAAAAAATCAATAAAAATAATTTCAATTTAGCAAGAATATATTTTGTTGAGTAAAATTAATTTCAGTTTAGTAAAAAAAAATTTAATTCCGAAAAATAATTTTAATTCAGTAAAAATAATTTAAGTTCAAAATTATTTCAATCGAGCAAAAATTAGCATTCAAAAAATCTATGCCCTAATTTACACGTGAAACAAAAAATGTTTATCAACTTTAGAAAATTGGGCTCCCTCGTTTCTTGTTAACCTTCCTAAGAACCAACTACTTATTCGAATAATAATTTCCTACAAGGATCATAACTACTTAAACAACCTTCGATTTTGTTTTTTTATGTGTAACTTTGGAGTATTATTTGTGAGATATAAAATTTTTTAAAGTTGCACATAAAAAAAAATAAAAAAATAAAAAATAAAAATCAGAGGTAGTATATATTTTTTTCAAACAAGGGCATTATAATTAGAATGTGTTATATACACCGGATGTACTGTACGCCCAAAAAATCTAAGGTTAGTTTTTGCTCTTCATTTAATAATAAAATAAAACATATTAAAATGAGAACATATACTCATAGGTGTACGGGACACCCGGTGTATATAACAACCGCTCCATTATGATCCATGTAAAATTGTATTTTAAGCACATCAATATGCTAATGGACCCCAACATTGGTCAGTAAGAAAGGTTACAGTTTCTAAGTATTTTGGAGTATTTGCTACGAGTATTATACTTGTATAAAACTTCAGAGATTAGTTTAGGCCATCGCAATGTTTTGATTTCCTTAGATTGAAGTTAATGTACTTGGCCAATTAAAAAAAACACCAGAATCGTAGATGCACAGTTGAGAATTTTCCTAACAATTACAAAACTATGGGGTGGTTGAATCATTAGAAATTAGCATAGACATTGTTCTTTATAAAATCAAACACAAACAGAAACAGGTGGTATGACTTGGTTTAAATTTCAATAGACCTGATAATTTTCTATGAATCTAATAACATTAATAATTACTCCTGAAATAAGGTTTAGAGAGCTTAACCATACGGTATAATAAGTGATTAATGTATATGCAAATAGGCTAGACTGGTATGAATTTAGATTGGTAGACATGGAATGATGGAAATCTATACAAAATTTTAAAGAGTTGTAGGGCATATACTATCATACTTCTTTAATTACAATGATACCTTATACGGTTCTCTAGCATATTTGTAATAAGAGATAGTTATCATTTTATCAATTAAACTAGTTGAATTATCATACTTCGTATATAATTCAATCATAAAAATCTTAGGATCAATGTGGTAACTTATTTGTTCGAAATTTTATCAATGAACATGAAAACAAGAATATTCTTGCTTCCAAGATTTAAATTACAACACAATAATTAAATTCCATACGGGGTTCTAGCTCCAACTACAATATCCATGCCAACAATGGCAATTATCTGTCCTATTATTGTACAGAGCTGGACTAGTCAAGGGGAATATGAGACGAACAAAAGCTATAGTCCCGGAAATGAAAGCCAAACTTACTACTACCCCTGAAAAGAAACAAAAAAAATCCCAATTAGGTTTGATTTGAGACAGAAGCTTTAACAAGTTCTTGGAAAATGTTGATGGCAAATGTGACACTATCTAAGGGCAAGAAATATTAAGAATTTAAGACGCCTACTTCACTCTCCCAATTCGTACAAACAAAAGAGACTAAGGAGTCAAATAATAGTTGTAATTTGGACTCGAATGGGTGACACTGCTAAACAATTAAAACCAGCAAGTTATTGAGGAATATCCTTCTGACTTAACATACAATATATTCTATGGGTGACACTGCTAAACAATTACAACCAGCAAGTTATTGAGGAATATCCTTTTGACTAAACATACAATATATTCTAAAAGATTGAGGTATTAATCCCTATATCAAGAAAAAAAATATCAAAGTTGCAAAAATCAATTAATTAAGTGATGATAATTTAGAATGCATACCTTTCTTTCTAGCATATACTGCAGGCAGTCCCATGTAATTACAGACAATATGTGCAACTAATGGAGCACTTAGATGCCCTGTCAAAAAGAATCAATCATGCAACAAAAGCAAGTTAAACAACCTTAAGAAAACAACATATTTTTAATGAAAGGTTACTAGATGAGTATTTAATTACTCCAGCTTTCAGGAAACACAAATGTAAATATGCAAAACCATAATGAACATCACAGGATACCTATCTGATGATCTGATCAAGAAAATTTTTGTATAATACTACAGCATTACAGCTAGATGACACTAAATCAGTATATCAAGCATTCAATCAGGGGAAATTCATCGTACATGTTTTCCAAACTGATATTACAGACTTATAGTAACCATGCATGATGCAGGTCTGAGATCTTACTAACATGAACTTAATTAAAGCCATTACAGAATATTATTTCAAGATATCTACTGATTAAGAAAAAAACTTGTACTGGTATATGGCCTCCGTTTCATTCAAATTGTGACACTGACTATTACATAGAAAAGAGTTGTGTTCCATATTGGATGAAGCTATGAGCTGGCTTAAGTATTGTTTTTGTTTTTGGCATTACGGCTTAATTAATTGTTATCAATGAATAATAACAAATACATTAATATCCATCATATAATAGTCTATCTAGATTTTGCGAAATAAAAACTTATATTAGTTCAAGAAAATCGTATACAATAAACCATCAATGTCTCATCTTTCATGCCCCTTACATATAAATTTGACTTGAATTTATCTCTTTCACACAATCAACTCCATCATCTTATAGTTTCCAAAGACCAAAGGTAAGGTGTTCTTACTTTCTGTGTCCCTCCTCTCCAATCTATGGCCAGGTCTCTATTTTTGCCCTTTTCTTTTGAATGATTTAATAAGCATTTGCTCTGCTATTTTAGAAGACAACTTATCGTATTTACAATAGAATCGTAAGTTGTTTCCCCTAAGCTTTGTTTAAGGTGATCATATAATAGCCATAAAATAGAGTAATAGGGAAAGAGAAATAGATAGGGAAATGTTATATTATATTAATTGATATTTAGCCCTAATCAAATATTTAAGAATGTTCTTTAAATGAAATTTAAGTAACGAAACTAAATTAGAACTATGAGGCATACTAAATTTCATCATGAAAACACAAAGTAGCCACAGCATACCTGTTCTAATGAACAGGAATGAAGCATAAGAGCCAAAAATCATTGTATATGCAAGCTGGGTACCTGAAATGAAGTCACAATCAGACATAAGTTCTATTCAAGTTCACAGATATAGCAATTTCCCAATGCATCAAAGACAAACATTGAGAAAAAACTATTGCATGATTCCAAGTCAGAGTGATTACATCTAAATTCTTATAATTACAGAAACAAATACCCCCAAAGTTCAGAGTATCATGTCATTGACTACTTCACCTAAGTACAATTCCTGATTGATATTACTGGAGCCTCCCTCTTTCTTGAGTTTATTATTCGTAATTACTAATGATAGTGTAACAATTGGACTCATGAAGTAACTTAATACACAAGTCAACAGTATCTGTTAAATACATTGTTTTTTAATACAAAAGAGATTAAAAAAAAAAGGTATACAAGCATAGGACAAGTTGTCCCCCATAAGACATTAATGAGTAGAAAAAAAAAAATACTGTTCCAATCACATAACTAATCAATAAGGAGAACACTGTAAAAAATCACAAAGTAAAAGACATTTTACACCACTGGCAATAGATTCATAACGAAATGTCAGAAACACCAAAAACAGCTTTATCTCTGCTTCCTTATAAACAAGTGATGAGAACACTGAAAAGGCAGCAAGCAAAAAAAAAAAAACCAAAGTTCATTGAAATAATTGAAAGGTAAGACATGAAGAGGAGCATTCTTTCATCAATGTATGCATACAGGGACAGTAGAATTTTTTGTGATAAAAGCACATCAAATTCAAAATAAAGTCTGCCCTTTTAGTAGAAGGCTTCTTTAGGTAACATCCACAATAGACTCAAAAATATAACAGCTTGAGCTTTATTATGGATGCTGTAAGCTTTCACCCTTTTGTCAGCTTTTTAAAGGATGTATATAAATGGTGTTAAAAGATGTACGTACCAACAGCTATGGAGGTTTTCAAAAGGCTATGATTCTTCCGGAAATAGAATTCCAAGAGATGGTTCAAGTGTGCTGAGACAAAAAAAAAAGAAAATGATGATAGATTAGACCCAGAGACTTAGAGAAGATATCTAATTATTCAATAAATTAAATATAAGAGCCTCCAAAAAGAGAAAGGAAACAGCAGCAGCAGCATTGCTATAAGAAAAAAATTGATAGATTACACTTGAGTATTTCAGTAAAAATTTACCGCTATCAGAGTATGGACTAGCAAAATGCAAAATAAGAGAAAGAGAGATAAAGACAGGATGCATTAGTCTGGTATGGCTTCTGAAACATACTAAGTGTCATTGCTAGAAGATCTCTATTACATACAAAGTATATTACATATAAGCCAAGGGGTGAGGTTGTGGTGTCCACCTAATATACCTAAACTACCCTTCAAATTTATTTCCTATTTTAAAATACAGCATAAACCTGACAAGTCAATATTACAATTATGTGAAGTTGTGAACTCACTATACTTACCCAAGCTGAAGAACATAGGGCACAGAAGAAGCACAGCTTGCACCTTAAATCCTCCACATAAAAGCAAAGGTATCATACAAGCCCTGAACACCAATTCTTCGGTAATTGGCGCCTATTAAGTAACATCACAGACTGTATATGTGAGACTCATAATCAGTCACATTATCAAGATATGAGGTACATATGACAAGCACTTTCATTGGATGGTGCAAGTGTAGCAGCAACTTAAGAAAGACATGATATAGTCATTGCTAAGTGCAACATTTTCATGAAATATATAATCACACTCAGGGCCGTCTTAAACATTTAGGGGGCCCTGTGCTATTTACACAACTTAGTAGTGTAAATTTCATTAGCTAATTTTTTTTTACACAATAGCCAAACACCGTAAACCGTTAGCTATTTTTTTTAAGTCACAAATAATATTTGAAGTACTCTACTTCATACGAATATTCGGTAAGACACTTTAACATTCATTATACTATTACAAGAATAGGTAGTTCACTTTTAAAATGACATAAATATAGACAATATGATATATACATTAAATATACTAGAGGTAATTATTAAGATTTTGGGGGGAAAAAAGCCTAAAAAAAATTAAGCATAATAAAAAGGACTACAGATTCACAGAGTAATACTCTTAGAAAGGAAAGAAAAAGAAAAAATAAAGTGAATATATGCACAGGCCGCGGGATTCGATCCTGCCCCTCAAGGATCTTATAAAGTGATCTTATACCAACTATGCCATGCACAATTACATAACTTTATTAGCGTTGGTTTCTTATTATACTAATGAAGTTTGTCAGACATTTGGGGCCCCAAAAATTGTGAGGCCCTGTGCTGTTGGGCTGTCTGCACAGCCTAATAGCCGGCCCTGATTACACTTCACCAATGCCATACATGAATGCATAATTGCATAGCAATAGAATTCAAGAAAAGCTACAGCAAACTCATATATGACAATTAGATACTTCAGTCGAGATGGCAAGTAAAAGACAAGAACTGGAAAGCATCAATCTGGATTTAGACTTTATACTAGACAGAATCTCTGCTAGCAAACAGATATTGCAAAAAATAGACAAGTTATGGATTTCATCTGGTATGTCAAGAACTCTGTGGGCAGAATAAAGGTCCACAGAAGTATTGTCTTTATTAACTGAAAATTGGCCAAATGGCATACAAACAAATACGTAGTAAAAAAAAAGTTCACTGGAGGTGCTTAAAAAAAGAAGACTCTGATTGTGTATAGCTGAGCTACAACCTATAAAGGATATGTAAGAGGAAGTCGAGCTAGAGTGCAATCAACAATACTGAAGGGGACCCCTCATGTAGTCATGTATTAGACATTAATTTGAGGTAGCAATGAGCCCATCTTCTAAACAAAGGCCGGGGACAAAACAACACGAAATATGTGAAAAGATGTACAAAGCCATGTGGGGAAAAAACAGCATCAATTCCTTTTTTGATTTCTCATTTTCATTGACATAATCAGATAAGTCACTTCCATTACTGCCGTCCATAACAAAATGAAGACGATGAAATGTATTCTCTTTAACTCTTGTAGCTGTGTATAACTTGTAAGATACATTTCCATCCCTAATTGCAGTGTAGCCTAGTCAATGCCACAGCTAGATCCATCAGTTTCCAATTGCATAGGTTCCATAATTGTATCTATATGATAAGGAAAACTCTTCCTCAGACCACCATCATAATTAACACTGTATTTCAATTTTTAATTTTCTGATACTCTGTTCCAATTTATTTACTACAGAAAATCTACAACTTGGTTTTCAATTACTCCGTATATCCCAGGTTATCAGGCTTGTGACTACAAATTTTAGGAAGGTTCTGAATTTAATCTTCTGCCTCTTAATTTCCACGGAAGTCACAACACCAACCCTATCCTGTTTGTGAGTGTGTTGGGGGGGGATGCTAAGATGTTGTGTAGTCTCCTTGAGGCTATAGTATTCTCAATAAAAACAATATCATCCATTCCTCACACCTGATATTGATCAATGACCATACTCATATCCAGCACACAAAGGTAGACCATATATTTAACCAGGTACCTTCCAAGTTCATTCATTGCATTCTCGAGACATGGGAAAGCCTATATTTATCCAAAGGTAGACCATATATCATTAAAAAAAAGGGGGGGGGGGTCATTACCCCTACAGAAAGCCAGCAAGAGTCTGAATTATGAAGTTCCCTGCCATTGTTTTAACAGAACACCAGCCAATCTCATCATACTGTGATAAAGATGTTGGCATTGTTGTATTGTTGTATCCACCACCAAACAAGAGCTGTCGATTATAACTTGTTATTCGATATGATTTTTGGATGATTTTGAACCTCGTTTACTTGATAAAGTGGTGTTTCGGTTCACTTTTACTCCATTATCATGCAATTTTTGTGTATCACTTGCTTCACGGGTTGTTAGGGTTTTGTTGAGTTTTTAGGTTCAAAAACGACTATTTGAAGCATATGGATAAGGGCCTTAGAGAACCTACACGGGCGTGCCATACCTTGCACGTTCGTGCAGGAGTGCATAACAACGATCAGGAACTTTAGTCTGTTGCTTTCAAGACTTGCACGTCCGTGCAGAGTTCAGCACGTCCGTGCAGGATACTCAGCACGTCCGTGCCTAATCTTGCACGTCCGTGCAGCTCGCCCAGCCCGAATCAGTTTCAAAACTAATCCTGCAATTCAAGGCCTGCACGTCCGTGCCATTTTTGGCACGTCTGTCCAAGATTCCTAGGCCAAGTCAGTTGATCCTAATCCTTGGCTCTGCACGTCCGTGCCAAGCCCCGTATTAGGCTGCACATCCGTGCCAAGTCTGGCACGTCCGTACAGACCTCTAGCCGTGCCCCACTCTTGTTTTCTCCGTCTTTTTTATTTGGGGGTCTTTATAAATACCCCCTTGAGCTCATTTGTACGGATCTTCTAGCTCCTTAACTCTTTTAGACCTATTCTCTTAATTAGTTCATAGTTTTCCTCTCCCTTAGTTTAGTTTCTCAAAAACTCAATCATTTGTAAGAATCATAGGAAGTTTGTTCCATTAATTTCAACAATTTCTCAACCTTGAAGTTTATTAAGTAATCTCTTTCCTCTATCTCTTTATTTTCAGTTTTAATTGTTTTGAGTTGATAATTTCTCCTTTAATCTTGTTTATTTGTTCTTGCATGTTTAATCCATTCTTGTTCTATCTCTTTCCTAGCTTATTTGAACTCATGAAAACTCTAGATTTAATTGTTAGAGTAATTTTCACCATGTTTAGTGAGTAGTCTCTTAGTTAGGGGTTGGGTGAAAACCCAACCAAGCTATGGTTGATTGACTTGGATTTATTCATGTTTTACCTTGGATTAATGGTTGTTTGTGCTTAAATTGATTACCGCATGTGTATTTTGATGGCCACTATATGCTCATGTGTTCATCCCTCTTCACATCGAAAGATGGGGTTTTAGAGTGAGTCCTTTCTTGTGCAATTGGATTATGCTACTTTCATGATTGTGGATGTTTGGTTTCTTTGAGTAGGATGCTTTAGTGTGGTAATTAGGCGAGAAATCCCAATTATTTGTGCCTCATACTAGTTCGGAACGATTGAGAGACAAACTCGAGCTAGAAACCCACTTTCTATCCTTGAGACTTAATCCTTGTCATGTTAGTGCTTAATCTAGGGAGTAATTATGTTGTGACTTTGAAAGAAGACGATGTTAAGTTCCTTCACTATCTTCCATGTATGCTCATGATTTGTCCTTGTTATTGATTCCTTGGTTTTGGTTGGTGTTGAATCCTGTTTCCCCTAGTGTTCCTTTATATAGTAGTTAACCAATCAAAACCCAATTTGTGACCGAATTAGCTCATACTCTTGGTGTTCTTTATCCATTCCCTGTGGATACGATCCTCTACTTACCCTAGATTTGTCTTAGATTAGTTTAGGTAGAAATATTGTTTGGTTTAGAGTGATTGTCCAACGACCGATTATTCCTCTACCAAAATGGCGCCGTTGCCGGGGAATGGCGTTAAGCATTGAGTTACTTATGAGATATGTGAGACTAGTTCATTTGTATAACTTTATTTTTCTTTGTTTTCTTTGACTAACCTACTAATCTCCCATCTAGTCTTCTTTGTTTATGCCCAAACACAGCAATAGGACACTTCCTCTTGTGCAATTGAACCTCGAGCTTGAAAAAGTCGTGAGAGAAAATCGAAGAGAAAAGAGGGCGATAGCTAGCGGTGCTACTTCAAGTGAGCCACAAGTTGAGGTTGAGTCCGATTATTCTAGTTCTAGTGAATCTAGTAGAGGCACCATTCCATTAGAATCACCAAGGACAAATTCTCCAACTTCTCCACCTATCCGCCATTTCGACATGGCTCAACCGAATTTGGTGTCCCTCCACCATATCAAGAAGCGAGTGAGATTGTTACTCCCACCACCGAGGCAAACAATTTTGAGATAAGGCCGCCCTTATCACCTTGATCGAGGGTCATCAATTCTCCGGGGCCAAGCATGAGGATCCCATTGCACATCTTAAGCAATTCACACGGTATTGTAGCACCGTGAAGGCAAATGGGGTGACTCCGGAATACATTCTTCTAAGTATGTTCAAATTTTCTCTCATGGGGAGTGCAAGTGATTGACTTGATAGGTTGACTCCGAACTCATTGACAACTTGGAATGAGGTAACTTCGCCATTCCTTGGAGGTTCATACCTCTTGGAAGAACGGCGGAGTTGAGATCTAAAATTTCAAATTTCCAACAAGAACCCGATGAGTCTCTCTATGATGCTAGGGAGATATACAAGGGCTACCAAAAACAATGCCTACATCATGGCATGGAAGATTGGCTCTTATTACATGGGTTCTATAGGGGTCTCTTGAGGGCGGATCGCATACTATTGGATGGAGCATCGGGTGGTCCACTCATGAACAAGCCACCATTGGAAGCACTCAAAATCATCGAGGAGGTGGTGCAAAACTACACCGATTGGAGTCATGATGAGAGGAACTCCACTAAAAAGGGAAGAAGGTATGAGGTTAGTGCTATCAATATGCTTAGCTCAAAATTAGATGCCTTGTCCTCTAAATTTGATCAAATGCAATCTTCTC